GTGTTTCTTTAGTGGAGGTGACTCATAATGAGGCTGAAGGTGTTCCTCACAGTAAGAGGCCACACAGACCAAACAGGACTTGCTGGCTCTCAGTTTTCTCCCAGAGCAGACATCACAGGCCACATCTTCAGGTCCAGCATAGCAGTCGTCAGCAGGAGCAGGCTGGAGTCCAGTCTTCTTCAGTTGCTCCACTAAAGCTGCTAACATGGTGCTTTTCTCCAGGACAGGCCTCGGTATGAAGATTTTCCTGCATTGAGGGCAGCTGTGAAGTCTCTTCTGATCCTCTCCATCAAAGTGTCCTTTAATACAGCTCTTGCAGTAGCTGTGTCCACAGGGAATAGTCACCGGGTCCTTCAGGACCTCCAGGCAGATGGAGCAGGAAATGCTTTCTGTGTCCAGCTGAACCCCTTTCTGAGCCATTTCTGCTGTCAGTAACTGTTAAACAGTCCAACTTTCCCCTGAACAGAACCGATCCGTGAGCTCTGAGAGAGTCTGACAGGCTGGCTAACGGCTGAATGAGGAAATGAGGCTTTCCCGTCACACGCTTCCTTATGAGAGCTCAGTGGGGGGGCGGGACAGAGGAGCACCGACCCAAAGGTTCCTCCAGAGGCACGGTGTGTCCTGTGGGGTTTACAGCCTCAAACCCGGGCAGAGTTCACTCAGCTGTGGTGTCAGAGCAGCAACGCTCAGTTTGAGAAAAGTTCTGGCCCAGTTTGAGACCAGTTCTGGCCCAGATTAAGAACAGTTCTGGCCCTTTTTCACCCTGTTCTGGCCCCATTTCTCAGCCCTCTTCTGGCCCTGTTTAGGGTGTCTACTCCACTTTGGTGTCCCTTGCAGCTGCAGCAGAAACTTTTTTTCCTCCTCCAGAGACCAAACTCTCACTCAGTTTGGGCAGAAACTCCTGAGCAGGTTCAGGGAAAACCTGCAGCAGTTTAGTCCATGAAGGAATGTAGAGGAACATGAATTCAGCGGCTGAATTTGGCTCTTTAGTGAGCATTTGCTGAGCCGTGTCTCCGTGTTCAGGTTAAATATCAACCATAATTATCCTTTCAAACTGCCCAGTCAGCTGGAACTCGTGTGCACTTTGACTTTATTTTACCACTCGGATCCGATAAGCGCCCGACGTGTTGCTGCAACTCTGACCTTTAATCCTGCTAATGCTGCTAATGCTAATAATGATGCTAACTGTCTGTCCTGTAGCCTCAGCTTGGGGAAAATAACCCGCTCTCTACTCCTACTCATATTTTACCTGTTAGCTCTTAAAGATCTTGTCTGTTTTAAACAGAGAAAAGCAGCAAAACCCTGTCTGTCAGCAGGAAAAACGGAAGAGACCTATTCAACTCCATTTCTCCATATATAAAAGAATTTCAAAAATTAAATATACAAAATTTAAAATAAAAATTCAATTAAATGAAAATAAATAAGCTAAGTTAGTTTAAAGTTAACGGCATGTAAGTTAGATAAAAACGATCTGAAAAATAGAAAAAAATACATACAGAAAACAAATTAAATGAAAGTTAGTTTAAAGTTCAGGTAGTTCACAGCAGCTGTAGGAATGCTGTAGTGAGGCGAATCAAACTCCATGGCGCGCCTCTACACCAATAACTCAGTGAAATTCTATTAATACACAATTTCTCCTAGCATATAGCAAAGATATACTCTGGGGGAAGAAACAAAACGCAAACACTGGAGACAGCGGAGAAAGTCTCCACAGTCTAGAGGATTACATTGACGAGTGATTGGATCGGATCGTCATGGGGAAAACTAATCTAGCGCCGGCAGGTAAATCCACCTCCTTCAAGTGGAACCGGAAAGAAGACTCCCCCGGTGCGATGTCTCCCGCTGGCAAGGAGTCGGTGGGCATTCTGTGGTCGATAGACTCTAAATTGTCCAGTTTTGACGCCCGCCTGTCCCTGCTAGAGATTCTACATGAAGAATTTCAGGCACTGAGAGTGGCTGGAGTTCAGCCAGCAGCAGGTGCAGATGCTGGCCGCAGAGAACGCCACCCTGAGGGACGCTGGGAAATCCCTCACAGAGGGAACGGGCCGAGTCTCTCAGGGAAACAGGGAAATCAATGAAACAATGGTAGACCTCCGAGCTGGCAGTATGAGGGACGACCTTGTGGTGGCTGGGATCCCAGAACAGATGGATGAAGACCCTGAACTGGTCATTAACTCATTGACTGCCAGCCATTTTCAGAACAGCGAGTCCCATACTGCCAGAGTTTTTTGAGCATTTTGACTGATTTTTCAAGAGCCACAGAATAGTTTGTGCTATGACACCGAACACACCAAAAGAAGTAGTAGACTCTCTTCTTTCATCAGGAAAAAAACATTTGTTTCTACCTTATTCCGTTCTTCCTCAATGTGCGTCTCACCGGCGACATGTTCTCGCATAGCGAACCATTGCGTTTTTTTTCTTATTTGCCTACAGTCTATGCTCATCTCCCATCAAAAGTGGCACTGCCACCTACAGGGTCAATCTGTTACTACATACTCTGTCTAGAAGCC